ACAAAGGAGGAGGCTGCAATGCTTGATAAGAAATGTACTCATTATCTTGCCTATGTAATTGTAACCCCTCTGTACAGTATGTTCACAAAAAATAAAAATAAAAAATATTCTTTTATTGTAAAGGTCATGAATAGGGGGTTAAAGTTACATAAGACAGGTAATGAATACATTTCTTTTATTGAACAGTGTTACTTTGGATTATTTATTTATTTATCTGTTTATTTATTTATGTTGGTCATGGGGCCTGAACTCTGGGCCTGGTTGTTGTCCCTCAGCTCTTCAGCTCAAGGCTAGCATTCTACCATTTGAGCCACAGTGCCACTTCTGGCTTTTTCTGCTTATGTGGTGCTGAGGAATCAAACCCAGGGCTTCATGTATGCGAGGCAAGCGCTCTACCACTGAGCCACCTTCCCAGCCCTACTTAGGATTTTTATTGCTATATTCCCAGAATGTGGTTCATAGATTATGTTCATTTTTAGCAGCTATGACCCAATTTCCTTCTGTTTTCTTATCTCTGCTAAGTTCTCTCATGCTGTCTTTACTGTATTTATCCCTAATTCAAGTTAGGAGGAGGAAAGGAGAGAGGAGTAGAGATTCAGAACTTTAATTCCTTTTGCTTCTATTTCCATCATAAACAGAATGGTAGCAACAGATATTATAGCATTATTCAGTTAGATCTGCCTGCAATTTGGTTTCCATTCTTCTGGCCTAGTTCCTAAATATATTAAAACTGATAGCAAGTTTTTAATGAGAATTGTATTTTAAAAGAGATTTTTATGGGAAAATAGCTTTGATGGATCTAAAAGTCACACAAAAATGTATTCCATTTTCTGCTTTATCACGTTCCTATCTCTTCTCGGTCTTCCTTGAATTGAACACACATGAATCTTCCCTGAAATTCAGTCACAGGAATACTTTTGGAGATTGATACAGTGTGATTTATTTTGTTTTGACTGTGTACATGTTATTTTGAGGTGTAAAGGTTGGCGATGGCAGAACTAGAAAAGAGGCTATATTATCTGTTTCCTTGATTAGGTTGACCTTGAAATCACCAGTGGTTGAGTACCAAAGAAGTGTCCACAAAAGCTGTTTTAGACACTTAGAAGTGTCTGGAGTAAATATTATTTTCTTCCCTTACCTCTTTCTTTTCCTTCCTTTTCCTTTCCCTATCTCCTTCTCCTCTCCTTCCCTCACCTTTCCCTTCCCTCTTACATTCCTTCTTTGTCCTTTGTTTTCCAGGTAGTAAAAATTAAACTCAGAACTTCAAGAGTGATGGGCAAGTGATTTATCATTTATCTACATGACTAGCCCCTTGGCCGGACAATTTTCATTTTCTGGTTCTCTAAATACAGTCAGTGATTGCATCCACAAAATAGCAGAACATTTACTAGTAGCAGGAATAAGGATCAACATAATATTTTATACTTTGAAGACCTCTTATTTATCTATTTGGTTTGATTTGTCCCTTAATAATAATTTAAGGATCCCTATTTTCTGCTGAGGAAATAGAGACTTGGAGTTCACAGAGCTGCGTGGGTCTAGCCAGATATGCTGACTTTAGGCTTTTTCCACATTGAGATGGGTTAATATGCTCTCTCTCTCTCTCTCTCTCTCTCTCTCTCTGTGTGGGGGGGGGCTTGAACTCAGGCCTGGGTCTGTCCCTGAGCTTTTGTGCTCAAGGCTAGCACTCTATCACTTAGAGCCACAGCTCTACTTCTGCTTTGGAGTGTTTAATTGGAGATAAGAGTCTCACTGACTTTCCTGAATGGGCTGGCAAAGAGTTAGCATGTATGGCTGATCTTGGGGGAAGAAGCTGTGAGGACATGTTCATTGACAGTAGATGTGGAAGCTGGTGAAGGTGCTGAATAATGTCAGCACATGAGTGGTCCGGAGGGGACTACTCAGTGGGTGGTCTCTTCTGTTTCTGGTCTTATAACAGTATTATCCAAAACATTCTTTTTAATTTATAGAATATATATGTGTGTACTTACTAGTTTATTTTTTAGATAGACCAAAACATAAAATTTTAATTAAGAAGGTAAAAATAAAATAGAACCTTATTTTCTTCCTATATGTATCCTTTTCTAAATTGGTAATGTGAAATGGATTCATAGCTACTTTCTGATTGCTCTTGATGACTCAGGAAGTCTGCAATTTATAACTCATATTTGAATAATAAGCTTTGGCTGAAGGACTTTTTTTTCTTCCCCAGCACACTAGTCATCTTATTTTCTGAGACTGCATTTTTAATGTGTATTGTTTAAGGTCATTTTAATGAGCTCTCCCTCAGCCTCACTGCATGTATTTTATAATCTTTTCAGAAAGATTCAGCTGCTTGTCTTACAACATTCCATTGGAGACATCTAATAATGTTCATTTAAACAGTCTTGAGCCCAGATAAATGTGTCTGGATCTAAGGCCAAGTAGTCTAGCCCAGCTCAGACGTGCTTTGTCCAGACTTGGACGAAGTCCATTGTATTTCTTCCATATTTGAATTTAACAAATCTGTTCATGTATCTTGTGACTTACTAGCAGGGGTACATATTTCTCATATCTCATGTACTTAAATCAACTGTAGGAAAAAAAGAAGAGTTATCTCTTTGCTAGTTTATTGTTACTCAATTCTAGTTTAACAGATGCTATGAGATAGGTGTGATTTCTCTATATATAGTCTGAGTTTTATACTAGGGCAGAGACAGTCAATTGTGAAGATTCTCGTATTTTTCCTGGGATAGTTATACATTTAAAAACACATATGACAGGCTGGGAAAGGTGGCTCAGTGGTAAATTGCCTGCCTTGCATGTATGAGGCTCTGGGTTCGATTCCTCAGCACCACATAGCAAAAAAAGCTGGAAGTGGCGTTGTGGCTCAAGTGGTAGAGATGAAGAGCTGAGGGACAGCATCCAGGCCCAGAGTTCAGGCCTCATGACTGAAAAAAAAAACAAAAAACAAAACCAACCAAACAAAAAAACACGTATCACTTACAACTTGTGATTTAGAAATAGTAGATGCAATTTTCTCAGTTTCTCCTTTGTAGTGGATATGAATATATACATTTTTTGGTAGGTATGTGTTATGTGTTGGCAGGTAATACAGAAAAGAAGCTGAAGTATAAAGCAACAGCCCATTTGTCACCATTTTTCCAAATGCCTATGTGAATGGCTTCTTGTATTTAGAGTATGTGCAAATGCTGTAAATACTGACAGAATGAGTCCATGAACATCAAACAGCTAGTTGTGCCAGTTGTACTGTGTCACAGCTCTGCTACGTGCTGAATATCGCTGTACTCGACTGATTGGGAACACAGAGAGAGGCCCCGTGTGGCTGAAGAAATGCACTTAGGAGCAGCCTCTGTTGAACCGTCCTTACTGTGGGTCCCCTTCTCTCCCCAGGTTTCAGCCCTGGAAGCATCTCATGTCCTTGGGAAACGTTCATAAAGAGTGAAATTTGCAATTCCTCCATCTATTCTGCTGTCCATTCTAGATCATGTCAGGAACTCAGGTCATGTCTCAGGGACTCTGGGAGAGGACCAGAGTGTGGTGGATAATACCCTAATATTAATGTACTTCAACCCAAATCTACTGTCACAAGTGGATTTTTATTGTGATGACAAATCAGTCAAAATTCTTACTTGAAAGAATATTGTGGATTTAATAGATGGGTCTATGTAAGAATATGAATCTTTGTGTGTATTTTTTGTGTGCATTTTAAATTTATCTACTTATTTATCTATCTCAGCCTTGGCCAAGCATCTCCCATTTGGCGAAGGACTTCATAGACAAGCTACTGATTTTGGAAGCCAGTCACCGAATGTCAGCTGGCCAGGCCCTGGACCATCCCTGGGTAGTCAATATGGCGGAGGGGGCTTCCATGAAGAATCTTCAGAGAGCCATTTCCCGGAACCTCATGAGGAGGGCATCTCCCTATTCCCAGAGCCCTGGGTCAGCACAATCTTCCAAGACACATCATTCTCACAAGTCAAAGCATCCGTGGAGCAGGAGAAACTTAAGAGCAGCAGGGTCCCCCCTCCCTGCAGTTTTGTAAGCAGATGACCTTTGAAACCATTTTTTTTCAATTTTAAGCCAGATCCAACAAATTCATTTATACTGTTAGTTCAAGAAGGACCCTGTCATCATGATTATTGGACCCTAAAACTCAAAGGACATAAGAACATGTGGTTACTCTTAGATAATGCTGACTTTTGCTTTGATCATCTTTTCCTCTATAATTTTTCCTTTGCATATTTTCACTTCCTGAATATGTATTATTGCATTACAGTAAGTGGTAGGTGCATGGTATAACTAGAAAAGGTAAATGTTGACAATCATTTTAGTGTTGAATGGCTTAAATAAAACATGATACTATCAGGATAAAGGATAAATATGTAAAAGAATGGTGAATTAGACATAGACACAATTAGATATAGGGAATGAAAGTATCCTTGAAAATAATGATACATATTTAAGGCCCACTGTATGCTGTTAGCTAAGTTATAGACAATTGATGCTAATTTTATATTTAATGCGTAAACACTTATGGAAAATTGCTAAATCTCAAGCATTTGTAAACTTTATGACAAAGTTTCTGACACTCAATTTGGGGTATTATTCACTAGAAAATAAGAATTTTACACAGTCAGATGGTGGTAATTTCTTTCCAGTATTAACTGTTAGGTTTAAGGTATTCAGGCAGAAAGAGAAGTTTTATTTTGAACTGCTGCCGGGATGTGCGTGGTAGAAATGCATGGCCAAAGTGGGTGAGCCACTGTCTGGCTGGGTTTATCTAGGGCAGGGGTGTGAGCCACTGTCTGGCTGGGTTTATCTAGGGCAGGGGTGGGGAGAAGGTGTGGCCATTTTGAGGGAAGGTGTGGCCAGGGAAGGCCATGCAGATGCCTCTTAACACCTATCCCCAAGACTCCACCCAGGATCTGTGTCACCTAGATAACTGAGGCAGTCCCTAGCAGACCTTATACCCACTGGTGGACAAAAGACAAAAGATACTAGTAACTAATTAGCAATGGTTTCTTCTAGTATTTAATCATCCTGATTCTGCATCCCCACCACAACATAATTATATGTAACTCATTAAAAGTAATAGATTCTAAAACTCAATTCTTTTTTTTTCCTTTTAGTTTTGGTCAGTCATGGGGCTTGAACTCAGGGCCAAAGCACTGGCCCTGAGCTTCTATTTTTGCTCAAGGCTAGAGCTCTACTGCCCGTGCCATAGCACCAATTCTGGCTTTTTCTGTTTATGTGGTACTGAGAATCAAACACAGAGCTTCATGAATGCTAGGCAAGCACTCTACCACTACGTTCCCAGCCTGTTTTTTTTTTGGGGGGGGGTTGGTCATGGGGCTTGAACTCTGAGCCTGGGTGCTGTCCTTCAGCTATTCAGCTCAAGGCTAACACTCTACCAGGTGAGCCACAGCACCACTTTTGGTTTTCTGGTGGTTAATTGGAGATAAGAGTTTCACAGACTTTCCTGCCTAGGCTGGCTTTGAACCACGACCCTCAAATCTCAGCCTCCTGAATAGCTAGGATTACAGGTGTGAGCAACCGGCACCCAGCTATACATTTTTTTGAACAGTGTTACCCCCTCCTTCATTTTCTACTGCTTCCCCATCTCTGTCTCCTCCTTCTCCCTTCCATTTCTCTCCTCATCAAGGTGTAAAATTCATTTCCAACATAGTGTCTAGTGCTTATCACTGTTGCATTGGTTTACTCTTTGTCCTACTGTTTCTGTAATTTCCCTTCCCTTCCCCAAATCAGATAAACTTAAATAGAAGACAAAGGATACAGAAATCAAAAACAGTGACAACAGGGAATGAGCCAAAGGAGGAAAAAGAAAGAAAAAAGGAATAACTGCATACAGTACACTAAAGATCTCTTTTTGTTTCTGTTTCTTGTAATCCATTTCAATAAGCATTGTTTTATATATCATACATAGCTATTGAGCTATTGTGGTCCTCTGATAAGAATATCCTAAACATATTCTAGTTATTACAAATGAGGGAGACCATGCAGGCTTTGTTTCTTTGGGTTTACTTTCCAGTCTTTCCATTTCCTTACAAATGGGGCAATGTCATTCTTCCTGATGTAAGCATATAATTCCATTATATATGTATATATATGTATATATAATGTATATATATATTCCATTATATATGTGTATGTACATATGACATTTTCTTGATCCATTCATCTATTGAAGTGCATCTGGGTTGATTCCTTATCTTAGCTATGGTAAATAATACTGCCGTGAACATGGCTGTGCTAGTACCTTTGGTGTGGCCTTGTTTGTGGTCATTTGGGTAAATGCCAGGAGTAAGATTGCTGGGTCATAAGGGAGCTCTATGTTAAGTTTTTTGGGGAACCTCCATTTAACCACTCTGCTTTCCAGAGTGGTTAAACAAGTTTCCATGAACAATGTAGTAGCATTTCCCTTTCAGTCACATCCCTGCTAGCATCTGTTATTATTAGTTTTCTTGATAATGGCCATTCTAACTGGGATGAGGTGGCATCTCAATGTTGTTTTGATTTGTATTTCTTTTATTTCTTCATGTGTCTATTGGCTGTTCTTATATCTTCTTTGGAGAAGTCTCTCTTTAAGTCTTTAGCCCACTTACTAATGGGGTTGTTGTTTCCTTGAGGATTTGTTTTTGAGAGATTTAATTTTTGAGCTCTAAATATATTTTAGATATGAGGCCCTTGTCTGTTGTATGGCTAGTGAAGATCTTCTCCCAATCTGTGGGCCCTCTATTTATCTTGCTAGCTATGTCCTTTGGCATGCAGAAGCTCTGAAGTTTAATGCAATCCCATTTATCTAGTCTTTCTTTGATTTGTTGTGTTTCTGGATCTTTAGTTAGGAAGTTTCCACCTGTGCCAAGGAGCCCTAGCATATCCCCTATAACCCTTCCTATACTATTTTCAGTGTATCTGCTCTTATCTTGAAGTTTTTGATCCATTTGCAATTGATTCTGGTGCAGGGTGATATATAAGGATCTAAATTCGGTTTGCTGTACATGTATAGCCAATTCTGCCATCACCATTTGTTAAAAAGGCTATCTTACTGCCATCCTATGTTTCTGACTTGTATATCAAATATTAAGTGACCATAACTCTGTGGGTTCATTTCTGGGTCTTCAATTCTATTCCATTTGTCCTCAGTCCTGTTCCTGTGTTAGTATCAAGCTGTTTATTTTTGTTTTTTAAATAACTTCAGCTTTATAATAGAGAAAAACTCAATTCTTAATGGTCAGGCAAATTGCCCTATCTTCTAGTACAGTATATTTCTATAAAATGACATAAGCCTGAAATATATCTGTGTATTACTGGTATGAGTAGAGAAGTAAGTATTGTAAGCCTGTGATTCATTGGTTGATATCACTTAATTTATTTCATTAAGTAGACTTGCAAGAAGCCACATAATAGATTTTTCTGTGCCTGTAAATGAAGTTAAAGCAGATAAAAAGCTGAACATCTAGCCTACCCCCTGCCACATTTTGCATCTGTGCTCTTTGAACTGTTCCTTTCCCAAGTCAGCTTACCACTACCTTATGCTCCAGAAATGACAGGATTCATCAACTAGCAACTTTTTGTGTGTGTGAAAATACCATACAGAGGGGTTACAATTACCTGGGCAAGGTAATGAGTACATTTCTTATCAAGCACTGTTGCCTCCTCTTTGGTTTCCCCTTCCATCCCTTCGCATTTCCCCCGCCCTCCCCTCCCCCACCAAAGTTGTAAAGTTCGATTTTCAACATAACGACTTGTACATCTCATTGTTGCAATGGGTCCACCTGTATACCTATTTAAAAGATTTGTTTTTGCCCTTCCCCTGCACAAATTATATCAACATGAAATACAATGAAAGCAGGGGTTATACTGTGGGGGAGGGACATACAAAGCAACAAAAAAAATCACCTTATAAATATGTTAGAAACAATCATAAGAAAGAAAAAAAACACTTGAATGCTTACCTTGGGGTTTATTTCACCTAACATCAAGTTATCTGACCTTTTCTGCTTGTCTCAGACATATACTAGTTATTGCAAATAAAGGAAACCATGGGACCTATGTTTCTTTGGGCCTGGCTTACTTCACTTAAAACAATTTTTTTCCAAGTCTTTCCATTTGCTAACAAATGGGGCAA